TCTGGAGTTTGAACTCAAGGGTCTGTACTTGCTTTAGACAACTGCTATACTACCTGAGCAACTTGGCTATCCTTTTGTGGAATAGTTATTTTCAATATGGAGTCTCGCTTTGGGCCCAGGTTGTCTAGGATTTTGATTTTCCTATTTGTGCTTCCTTCCATTGCTGGGATGACAAAAGTGCCCAACCATTGGTTGAGAAGGAGCTTTAAGATCTTTTTGTCTGGGCTACCTCAAACTACAGTCCCCAATTTCTGCTCTTAAGTAGCTGGGATTACAGGCTTGAGCTGTCATGTCCAGCTCTTTTGTCATTGTTTTTCCATTGCACAAAAAATAGAGCTGATAAACAGATACATTTTCAGCTTTTAAAAATTTTACACACAGCCGGGCGCTGGTGGCTCACGCCTGTAATCCTAGCTACTTAGGAGGCTGAGATCTGAGGATTGCAGTTCAAAGCCAGCCGTGAAACTCTTATCTCCAATAACCACTCAAAAAACTGGAAGTGGCACAATAGCTCAAGTGGTAGAGCGCTCACCTTGAGCTGAAGAGTTGAGGGACAGTGCCCAGGCCCAGAGTTCAAGCCCCAGGACTGACCAAAAAAAAATTTTTTTTACACACACATACCCTATTTTTTGAGCTATACTAGGATTAGACACAATGCTTTTCATATGCCAAACAGATAATCTACCACTGAACTCAGCCTTTTACTTACTTCTATGCTTTTTAAAAATCATTGTGGTGATTTTACTGTATTACAAATGTTTTTCACATTTCTAGTGATTTTGTTATTTTTTTCTTATTTACCCTTACTCTCTGCTTACCTCAGTAAGTAACACATGCACATTTTGGAATATACATGAAATTACAAAAATTTAAATATCTATTTTTTTCACCATCCTGGATGATTTTTTCTAATACTTTTGCTTTTATGTATTTTTTTAATGTATTTAATTCTGAATCTGGAGATTACAGCTTTGTAAGCTTTATGTTTCACTTATGTGATTGAACTGTCACATGATATAAATATCCTATGAAAAATAAATCATTAGAAAAATCTATCTGGAGTTTATTTTGGTGATGAACTTTATTTTAAAACTATCCCTAAGCAGCAATTTATCTAGAAAGATAAAATCTTTCTAGGATATTCTTATTTTGTATTATTATCCAACATTGGTCTATTTCTGCTGTCACATCCAAACCATTTGCAACTGTCCTAAGTTTTTCTTTTTTTTTTTTTCTGAGCTCTCAGAGAACCTGGTTTATGCAGTAACCTAGATAACACAAGTGTTCATTTGTGTTGTTAATGTTTAATCTGTTTAGCCATGCTCACCTCCCCTTTTGTGTATATTTACAGATGCTTTTTGATCATCCTGAGAAAAATGAGCCTTGGCCTCCAGACCAAGCAAAACGAATATCCCTCCCATGGAGAATAGTGCTAGTTCCTGAAGACCTAGAAGATTTACAGCCCTAAAGAGATTAGCTAGAAGCAGGTAAGAAAAACCTGGGGATGGACAAGCCAAGAAATCCATTCCTGAATGAACAATAGTACGGCAGATTACGCTGGCAAGGAACCTCAAGCTACAATGTCCGACCATAGCTTTGCTTGTTTTTCTTCTCTCTTTTCTTTCTTAGTCTTGTAATTGCTGATTCAAAGAGGAGCAGAGTGGGAGGGTAGGTACCTTGCTCATTTCTGTAAGCTTTAACTATAATATTTGAATTATGTAATTCACTGTGCCCTTTTTTTTTTTGAGCACCTACTATGTGCCAAGTGCTGCATTTGACACTGACAAAGTCAGGATGAGTAGATCAGGGCAGAATTCCTTACTTTGAGCTTTTCTTTCTGCTGGTTCAGGGTCAAGAAGTATCTTTGGTGATAGTGGGAGTTGGTAGGTAGAAGCCTATTCTACCATTTGAGCCCCACTTCCACTGGTGGTTTTTGGGTAGTTAATTGGGGAGAGGACTCTTAAATTTAGCTGTCCCAGTTGGCTTTGAACATGATTTTCAAATCTCAGTTTTCTGAGTACCTAGGATTACAGATTTGAGCTGCTAGCATCCAGCTTAGTTCAGCAATTTTTTTTCTTCTTTAAGTAATTGTACAAAGGAGTTTCAGTTCATTGTCCGTTTATGAGTACATTGCTTCTTGATCAGCATCATCAGTGGTTTATTGGGCAGTGCTCTGTTCCAGATACTGTGCTAGGTCCTGTTATTCAGAAATGATGCCAGAAGTTCTCCTCTAGCAAGCTTTAGAGAGCAATACAAGCAGCTGGGAGCCGGACTAGCACAGGCTGACATGGGGGTGAGCTCCCATGGTAGATAAGGGCAGAGAATGTACAGTTTAGAAGGTAGCTTCAGAGACAGTTGATTGCCATCGGAATACTCAAAACTGATATGGTGAATTTTTCCAAAGACTCTGTGGAGAGAAGTTGTGTACTCTCTTCTGTTGGTTGGGCTCTTAAGATAAAGTTTCTCCTGTCTCTGTCTTATTAGGATCACTTAAGAAGTGAGAAAGGGTCCTGCATTTCTAAGTGCCTATGACCAGAGACTCCACCTAGCCTGTGGTTTTGGAACCTCATATAGGGTTCAGCTGAAGGCCCACTTGAGCCCTGATGTCAAGTTTCAGATGAGTGCTGTGAGGCCATGACTGAAACGTGAGATGTGGTAACAGGACTGTAGTTGGGCCTGTTTGTATGTGTGGGAACTCCTCCCTCCTGAGAATGTAAGAAAAGCTAATATGAGCCTCCACTGAACCTCAGGTCCCAAGGGGGTGAATCAAGCCCCTCCCTTCCATTTCCTTTCACTGATAGGCATAAAAGGCAAGTTAGAAACCCACCATTTCAGAATCACCCATACTACTTTTTAAATTGCTTGTATTTCTAAAACCTCATTTGGGTCAGCTATAAATGGAGCTCATAAAAATCTCGCCTGCTTATCTATCAGTGTTATTCTGGCTTTTATAAACTTTGCTAATGGAAAAGGGTTCCTGAGTGGTTCAGGGTGCCCACCAGTGCCCATCAGTCTACTGTACGTGCTTGAAGTGCTTTTTCTATAATTGATCAACTGAGCTGCCTTTCTAGGCTTCCTGACTTCTGAGTCCTGATGGTTGGCACTGACTTTTCATTGTCCCAGTGCTAGCTTTCTGTTTTCCAATGGCAAAACTGTGAACTTTCAGAGTTAGAAACACCTGGGTTTGTAATCCTGGTTATGGCATCATTGATGAGCTACTGGCATTACAGAAGCCTGTCCCGATAAGACCTGACCTCTTCATTTTTAACATAGAATTGTGATTATCTACTTCATAGTGCAACAGTAAAAATAAATCAATGATAAATTGGAGTAAAGTGCAGTAAGATCTTAAATTCTATTTCTTCTCTAATTGTTCTTGAGATACTTACATGATCATGTGGTTAGTTATGTTGCATGTTTTTGACAATGCAACAAGCCCTTTATCTGTTGTTCAAAAATAATGTCTTCTAGCTGTACACTGGTGGCTGATACTTATCATCCTAGCTATTCAGGAGGCTGAGAACTGAAGATCACAATTTGAAGTCTGCCCAGGCAGATGAATTTGTGAGACAATTAACCAGCAAAAAGCTGAAACAGGAGGAGTGACTCAAATGGTAGAGTGACAGTTGTGAGCAAAAAACACCGAAGTGTTAGTTGAGAGTCAGAATTCAAGCTCCAATATTGGCATGTACACACACACACACACACATACACACACACACACACACACACACAAACAGACACAAAACAACTAACAACAACAAACAGAAGAAGAAATATTGTCTTCTGTGTACAGAGGATGTCCAAAGCTTTTGTTCCCTATCGCCCACCACTGGTTCCTAAGGTCTGGAATAGTAGAAAATACTGCTCTAGTTGGTAATGCCAGTGGGTACCAAGAAAGATCCAGTTGTTATTCAATTAAAGATTCTCAGATAAAGAGGCTCCCTCTCAGGCTGGTAAGTCAAAACCAGTGGTCTACTCTGCCCTCTTTCACTGACCGATGTCACCCACACATGCCCCCTTGCCAAAGGACTGCTCTACGGAGTCTCTTTAAAATCCCTCCCCTTACTTTGTTTTTAGCTCATTCCAAGTCTGTTAACATATCCTCTGTGTGGTCTTCCCAGCACTCTATGAATGGAATAGGCAGAAGTTATCATCCTATAGAAATTTAGAGGCAGAGATATTCACTTGACCAGGGGTCACCAAGCACGGGGGACACAAACCCAGTTTTCATACTCAATGGAAAATGTCTACCACCTTATCCCTAATAGCCACGGCTTCACGGGAAAGTACTTCAGACTCCTAGTAGGTTAGAAAACTTCCAGGAGCAATTGATTTTACTCTTTGGTAAGCAAACTCAGAGACTGAGGAAAGAATTTAATGATTTCCAAAAGATAAAGACATAATATTTGAGTTCAAAGGGCTTCCATTTTCCATTAATTACCCGGTGAATTCTGAGGGAACGAAGTCGATACATACCCAGATATAAAGTGGGATTATTTAGCTCTATTTGTTTAGTAAAGAGCACTTTCCAGAACTTTCAATAGTTCTGTGTGTGGTATAGTAAAAAGGACATGACTGGGGATTCAAACGCATTTGGATTTGAACCTCAGGGCAAGTATTTCCTGAGCTCTGCGATCCTGAGCACTTTCCTTAACTCCTTAAAGCCTCAGGTTGCAAATCTGTAAAAATGGAGATCTAGCACCGTCATCATAGTGATTTTCAGACCCCTCTGAACAGCTTAGGAGATGCTTTTCAAGTTACTCTATGAGATGCATGTGCTTCTCTGGAGTTATGTATGACACTGACCCTGATTTTGGTGAAATTAAATGAAAGAACATCTCATGGGTTTAATAAGTGTGTGTTTTCATTTCTTCAATTGGCCACATGTCTGCTGTCCAGATACCTGCCCAAGATTTCCCATCCTTTGTCATGAGGTGAGCAAGCTCTTTGTCTAAAGAGTGGTTTTGTTGTGGTGCATGACACAAAACTGAGTGTTACATTGTGAAGCTATTCTTGGCACGATTCTAACATCACAGTCCATAGAGAGGCACATTACAAATCTATAACCTCTGACTGTTGTGATTTAGGATTTTAAAGAATCTGGGTTTTGTGATATAGTATAGTTGGCTGGCTGATCCCTTTTGTTTTACATTATTAGAAGAATGCATGCCTTTATTTAACACAGTCTAATACTCTATGAATGCATTGATATATAAAATATTTTCTGACCTCAATGCTTCTTGCAGGACCTAGACCAAGGCAACTAGAAACTCAGAGTACAAAAAGTAATGGGAGAAAAGCAGGGGCTGGTGTCTTACACCTGTAAGCATACCAAGATACTCAGGAAGCTGAGATCTGAGGATGACAGTTCAAAGAGAGCCTGGTGAAGTCTGTGAGACTCTTATCTCTAACTACCAAAAACCCAAAGTGGAGCTTTGGCTCAAGTGGTAGAGTGCTAGTCTTGAGCAAACAAAAAGCACAGGAACACCTCTCAGGCCTTGAGTTCAAGCACCAACAAACAAATAAATAATAAAAATAAATAAATAAGGAGAAAGACAAAGTGTTCAGAGCTGGGCAGGAAAGAAGGGAGTGCCTGGGGGAATATGATCTATGTTCAAAGCCACATGATGGCTGAGTTTTTTTTTTTCAGGATGTGCTCAACAGTTGGTGGAAGGTAGATCAGGGCCCAGATTTAAGTCTGCTTGCTCTCAATCTCTTGCTTAGCCTATCTACCCTATGGCTTGCCACTTTTAGATGTCCTTTCCATCACTTTTTTTGTCCTGTCTGTTTTTTTTTTTGTAGGCTTGTTTTCCTGCTCAGATTCTGGAATACATCTTTCATTATGATCCACACCAACTTGAAGAAAAAATTTAGTTATTGTGTCCTGGCCTTTCTTTTGTTTGCAGTCATTTGTGTGTGGAAGGAAAGGAAGAAAGGGAGTTATTATGATTCCCTTAAGTTGCAAGCCAAGGAATTACAGGTGTTGAGGAACTTTGAGAAACTGGCTATGGGGTCTGGTCCCCAGTCTGTCTCCTCAAATGGCACTCAGGACCCCCACAAGGGAAACCAGGCCTTCAGCAGTGCAAGAGTCCCAGCCAAGGCCAAGCCACAGGCCTCCTACCAGGTGTGGAACAAGGACAGCTCATCCAAAAACCTTATCCCCAGGCTGCAAAAGATCTGGAAGAACTACCTGACTATGAACAAGTACAAAGTGTCCTACAAGGGGCCAGGGCCAGGTGTCAAGTTCAGTGCAGAGGCCCTGCGCTGCCATCTTCGGGACCATGTGAACGTATCCATGGTAGAGTCTACAGATTTTCCCTTCAATACCTCTGAATGGAAGGGTTTCCTGCCCAAGGAGAACATTCGGACCAAGGCTGGGCCATGGAGCAGGTGTGCTGTTGTCTCATCAGCAGGATCCCTGAAGTCCTCCCAACTGGGCCGAGAGATAGGTATGTGAAGACTGGGTGTCTTGAACGATCTTGGAGAAGAGATCCCAAAGGTGGCTCAGTGAGTTGGAGGAGCTGAACCAAGGCAGTGTATTCAAGTCTCTTACAGTGAGAAGTGTCATGAGCAGAGTTGTGAGGATGGGGATCCAGGATCACTACAATGGCTTTATTTGATCTGTTTCATATATTGGTGTTCTGCAGTATTTAATTTGAAAAAGACAGTTCAGCCACCACCCAAGAGTAGAAACACTGCAGCTGATCTTTGAAAGTATTTGAAGCATAGCTCTATACCTTACTTTTAGGCTCTAAAATTCTGTTGTCTTACCTAAAACATATCAACTCTTTGGATTTCAATAACATGGGTAGTTTGCAGGTCTCTCTCCCTCTCTCACTCGCTCCTTCTCTCTCTCTCTCCCTATCTCCCTCTTTCCCTCTCTCCCCCCTCTCTCTTCTCCCCTCTCTCTGTCCCTTCCTATGCCAGTCCCTGGGCTTGAACTCAGGGCCTTGGCACCATTTCTGAGCTTTTGTGCTCAATGCTAATGCTCTACTACTTGAGCCACAGCTCCACTTTCAGCGTTTTGCTGAAAGTCCCATGCACTTTCCTACCAGGGCTGGCTTCAAACCACAATCCTCAGATCTCAGCCTCCTGGGTAGCTAGGATTATAGGCGTGAGCCCAGTGCTCTTTAAGAAATAATTAGAGCAGGTTTATTTTTTAATTTGGGGACTATGGACCAACTTTAGGGGGTTTTGATCCCTAAAATTGCACCCAGAAGTTCCCGTGGGTTGGTGTGTATAATGTACCTGGAAACTTGTCTGTGGATTTTGCCAGTGAGAAAATCGATAGGTTGCAGTTGATTTTCAGAGGGATCTGTGAATACTGCACCCCTCCCCATAGTTAAAGTCATTGGTTAAAATATATCAGCTTGTCTTTCTTAGAATCCTTTAGCCGCTAATGAATGCTTATCGGTATTGGCAAGCCTACATAGCAGAGAGCTACTGATTTGCCTAAGGCCCTTTATTTCTCTTATTTTGAGAGAAAATATTTTTTGTCATTGTGAAAGGAATCAAGCTATAAAGAAACCAAAGGAAGCTTTGCTTTTCTGTCAGGCTGGAGGTACTGGAGCAGGTGAGGTCATATGTCTCCTTTTTTATTTCTTTCCTATGACTGCCAGGAAAAATGGTCTGGATCCAAGCACAGGCTTGAAGAAGAAATGTAAGACCCAAATTGGATTTTCTAGCACAGAAAAAAGTGGTGAGATCACACTTTGTCCCTCCCCAAATAGGCACCACTTACTAATGAAGGCTGCCAAATGTCTGGCCCCAACCTAATTTGACTTTTGCTTTTTTGTTTCTTTTGGTCTTTGTTTTTGAGAAATTAAATGTTACTGGTTTCTGTTCATCTATAATATAACCAGGTTTTTGGTTTCTCCATTATTTGTTTAGTTGTTTTGCTACAAAATGAGATCGTCTTTAGGAGATTCCAAGTATTAAATAAACCTTTTTATTCAAGTCATCATTGTCTGTGGTGCAGAAATTGTTTAAGTTTGAGAAAAAGTTGTATCTCTTTGAGAATTGGCACTACAGCTTTGTTTTTCATGTACTTCTTAAAAGCAAAGGCAGGATAATACTGAGTTCAAGTCCAGCCTGGCTACAGGTGGAGATTCTATCCCAAAAACAACAACAAAAAATCAAACAAAAATCCAAACTAGTTTGAGTGACTTAAATAAACATTAATTAAAATATCTTTTCCTTTCTTTTACATTTGGATTTTTAAAAATCATTTTTATCTGCAAATATTTTATTTGATAAATATGTAATGTTCAAAATACATAAGGAACTCATATTTTTAAGCCAGTATTGGGCTTGAACTCAGATCCTGGGCACTATCTTTTTGCTTTTTTGCATGTCTAGTGCTTTGCCATTTGAGCTCCAGTTCCACATTTGGCTTTTTGGTGGTTAAGTGAAGATACAAGTGTCACAGATTTCCTGCCAGGGCTGTCTTTGAACCAGGATCCTCAGATCTCAGCCTCCTGAGTAGCTAGAATTACAAGTATGAACCACTGGCACTTGTCTAAAGAACTCTTATAATTCAACAATAATAAGACAAAGAATCTCATTTTAAGATAGACAAATGAGTTGAGTGAACATTTTTCCAAAAAAACGAAAACAAATGGTCAAGTAGCATTATAGAAAAGATGGTCAGCGTTAGGCATTACGGAAATGCAAATCAAAATCACAGGGAAATGACTTTTCAAAAATATCTTTTTCTATAGACCACAGTTACAACTTCAAATGAATACTGTATAAGGACTTTGGTCCTAAGATGTAATAAAAATTACATTTCAGTCTTCAAATCTAGGGTGTACTCCTCTGGGCATTTCACCTAACAAATATTTAAGGCATCAATCCATTTATTCTTTGTATTCATTCATGAGTTAATCAAAATACAAAATTGTGACTTAGGTAGGAAAAGAGCCAGATATTATAATGTTCAGAATTTGTTGAGTCTGTTCCCAACTATTGGATGTGTCAGATGACTTCAAATTGTTTAGTCTTACAAATAATATCTCTAAAAAGTTTTCTGTACAGAGAATTCAAGAGACTGTTACTGCTTTCCAATGATAAAATAGTCTCATGGTTAGAATATCCAAATAACTTTCACGTTCATTTCCCCACCCACAGCAAGGTTATTCACTAGAGAGATTGTATAATGTCCTTTGCTTCCAACGGTGCCATAAATCAGCCCATGGTAGATTCCATAATTTTTCATTCAGTCTTATAGCTTATTGATGCATGGAAACTGAAATATGTTAGATTTGTTTGACATGAGATTGCCAACAAATAACATTTAAAAATACTATCACCAATAGAAGTAACATTTGTGTGCTGCTGTGTACTGAACTTAGCTGTTCTTTTAACCACTACAACAGTCTACAGTGGCTAAGATAATCACCCCCATTTTGCTCATGACCTAATTATGGAGAGTCAATAGATTTTCACATCTGGTTAAGAGCACACTAGAGCTTGAAAGCATTCCTTTGACTCAAAGAAGTCTGTGCTTAGCCCCTTTGCTCTTATGATTTGTAGCTTCATATTAAAATTTGGTTGAAGTTGGGTGCCAGTGGCTCATGCTTGTAATCCTAGCTACCCAGGAGGCTAAGGTCTGAGGATCTCAGCTCAAAACCAGCCCAGGCAGGGAAGACATTTAGTTTATCACCAAAAAGCCAGAAGTAGAGGTATGGCTTAAATGGCAAAGCTCCAGCCTTGAGTGAAACGGCTTAGGGATAGTGCTCAGGCACTGAGTTCAAGCCCCAGCACTGGCACCCACAAAAAATTTTGGTTGGACTAATTCTTTGTTGCTTTTCTGAGCGAGGCAAAGGCAATAAGCAAAGGCCAAACAGGGAAAAGAGCAGAACGTGTTTGAGCATTACAAATGATCCTCATTTGTCTTCTGCCACATCCCTACCCTTGTTGTGATCTTTATACTGGCTGTGCCCTGTGGTTGGAATGTACTGCTCTGGGCCCTTTCTGTGCCTGGCTATCATTTGAGTCTCAGCTCCAAAGCCTTTTTTAAATCATCACACCATCAAGAGGAGAGTTCTTCATTGTCTCTGTCACATGACCTAGTTTTTGTGTGTCATAGTGTCAAATGCAATCTGTTTTTATTTTTTAATTGTTATTAAAGGTGATGTACAAAGGGGTTACAGTGACATAAGTCAGTTAAAGAGTACATTTCCTTTTTATTTTTTAAGAATTGCTATTATAAAGGTGATGTACAGAGGGGTGACACTTACATAAGCCAGGTAATTAATGCATTTCCTTTTGTACAATGTTAACTCTTACCTTGCTCTCTCATAGTTACTTTTATACATAAGTTAAAATATTACTTGTTGCCTCTCCATGATCTAGAATATGAGCTCTCTGAGGCCAAAGACTTTGTCTTTCTTGCTTAGACACCAATATGTCAAATACCTAGAGCTCTCTCCTTGGCAGAGAGCGGGTATTAATTAATATTTGCTGAATGAACAAAATGATTGATTCTCCTCTCCTGTGTGGATGTGTCACAGTAATGGGGTTAGAATTCAGGGCCTCCAACTGTCACTCCATTTTTTGCTAATGGCTGGTGCTCTACCACTGGACCCATGCCTCTAGTTTGGCTTTTTGCTGGTTAATAGATATAAGAATCTCATATTTGTCTGCCCATGCTGGTCTGAACTGCAGCCTCCATATCTCACCCTCCTAAGTAGCTAGGATTATGGCATAAACCACCGGTACCTGGGCTTATCCAAGTCTTTTTGTGCCGAATGTTCTCCATTTACTCCTCCAAACCTACCTACTACTCCCCCACCCTTTTCCATCTGGCCCTGTTCCCCGAATTTGGACCATTTCAGTAGGTATTCCTTGCCTTCTGGCTTCTATTTGGCACTGGCCAATAGAAGCTGAGAAGGAGGAAAATGAGGCTAGGGCATCTATTTTTCTGGGAATCTCCCTGCAGGTAGCCTTAGTAGCGTTCCCTTGACTGAAAAGCTCAGGCCCTGTAAGGCATTCTTCTATCAGTGCTCTGTAATCTCATTTTTCCTGTGGGATTGAAGGGATAGAGGATGAGGTTCAGGTATGGATTCTGTTTGCCCCTGTCTCGCTGGCTGGACATTAGCAATAGCTGTGTTTCTCTTCAGCTTCTGATATTTGCCCTTTTCAACTCAGGGTCTCTGCTCCTCATGCAGGGCACACTTGGGGCCAGTTGTGGCTTCTCATAGCAGCCAGTCCTGGTGTAAGCTATGCTGTGCTGTTTCCATAAACTCTGCTTTATAAATAGTCCTTTTATGAAATGATTACTTCCTTTCTATGGGTTCTTACCCATAATGTATTCATCTGTAAAGTTGACTAAGTACAGTGTCTAATGGATCTTCATTTCTCCTGTGAGTTCAATTGATCACTGTTGAAACCACTGGCTGATTCTCACAAAGCTAGTTGCTGTTTTGAGTTGTATAAAGATGTAACTTTTGTCCTATTTGCACTTCAGTGTGCCTGCCCTGGAAGCTGATAAGATTTGGACTATGTAACTCTTAAACCATTTCAGTGACAGTCCATTTCAGTGATTTGTCATCAGATTGAGGAGAGGATTTTGCAGTGGCTGTAATGAGATGCCAGAGGTTATAGTTTAATACCTATGTTGGGATGGAGATAAAGAAGGGGTTTTTCATGCCTTAATTCTATAAGCATCTCCTTTCCAGGTCATTATGTATTGAACCCAATGTCTTTTGTCCTGCATGATATCCCAAACAGGCCCTCACATAGGGAGGATGGTTGGATTGGCCTCCAACCTGGTACAAATTTTGCTGGTGAACCTAAACTCTGTTTGATGAAGAAAGGCTAGGATAAGCTTGTGTAGGGTCACAGAGGCACACTGGGTTAGGTTGGTTCCTAAAAGTCATCACTTCCCTCCCCCATCAGAGTGGCAAATGCTCAATGCAGAACTTTTCCTAACTCTTCCAAACACTGCTTAAAGAGGAATTACAAGGAGAAATGTTCTAGGAAGTAATTAGGTGTTTTGGAGATGGTGTATTTGATCCTGATCATCATGTGTCTGGCAAAGTGCTTTAATAAAAACCGCAGAAGTCACGGAGTTTAGTTTAGCATTGTGGATTCCTATGTCATTTTTGCCACATCAGATTTTTGTCTCCCTTAGCTGGGCCTCAGGTTTCTAAATGGAACACTTAGGTGTTATCCTGAATGATGGAGTGCCATCTGTGGCTTGAGTGGTATGTACTTTTCAAAGTGCCTCAGGTACTTTGCACTTCTGGCACAGATGGAGTATGTGGTAGTTCCTTCATTTCTCTGACATGAATAGACATGATCTTTAGGTGACACCTAAAGACTTTTGATATCTGGAGCAGTGATTCCACTGAAGCGGCACACTGGTAGCCAGTACTAGAGCGTTAACTCAGAATGCTGGCTACTGAGCCAGTACTGCATGCTGTCCTGTAACTTTTTCACTCAAGGCTAGCACTCTGCCATAACAACTCCACTTCTGTCTTTTTGGTGGTTAATTGGAGATAAGAGTCTCACAGACCTTCCTTCCTGGGCTGGCTTTGAACCTAATCTTCAGATTTCAGCCTCCCGCGTAGCTAGGATTATGCATATAAGCACCTGGTATGGCTTACTTTTTGCTGTGTTGATGTATTGAATGGGTTTCATGAATGCATAATATAAATTCCTGTTTCTTTATAGTAGCTGGAAGACAGTGATCATTTCTGTCTGTGAACTTTTCCCGAGTAACACACAAATATTATAATTCCTTGCTCTCTATGTGTCATAATGGAATGAAGTGTGGAATAACGGCTGTCACACCCCCTCCCCTTCCTCCCACCTTTTCTTCCTCCTGTCCTTCTCTCTTCCTGCACATTGCTAGCACTCATCACCTCTGTTCTATTTCCTTGTGGTTTATAGATGATCACGATGCAGTTATGAGGTTTAATGGGGCACCCACAGCCAACTTCCAACAAGATGTGGGCACGAAAACAACCATTCGCCTGATGAACTCCCAGGTAAAATGTCTTCTGTGCAGATATGGAATTGACAGGAGGACCAAAAATGTGAGCTCCAACAATGTATCTACTAGGAGCATAGAAAAGCTACTAGCTTGTTAAGTCTTTTGATTTTCCTACCTTCTTATTTTATTTTATTTTTTTTGGTCCAGTCATGGGGCCTGAACTCTGGGCCTGGGCACTGTCCCTCAGCTCTTCAGCTCAAGGCTAGCGCTCTACCACTTGAGCCACAGCACCACTTCTGGCTTTTTTCTTTTTGCTTATGTGGTGCTGAGGAATCGAACCCAGGACCTCATGCATGCAAGGCAAGAGCTCTACCACTGAGCCACCTTCCCAGCCCCTTCCTGCGTTCTTGATTCATCATTGGAAAAGGATATTATGATTCCATGACCCAATCTTACCATGTACTCATTAAGAACCCTACAATATTAGTCTGTATTGATGGAGTCCATAGGCACGGGAAAGCAGAGTCCTGCCATCCATTCAGTTGTAAGGTCATACCTGGAAGTTTCATGCAGGAGAAAATCAGAGGACATCCAGGGAAGAGGGACAACTACTGTGGGAAATAAACAAGAAGGTACATGTGGGAGTATACTGTGTGGGTTGTAAACCAACATACAAGGGTCATAAGACACCATCACCCATTATTTGCCAGGGGTTCATACCTGAAATCCTAGGTACTAATAAGGCTACTGAGGATTTTAAAGATAGCTTTGGCAGAAAAGTCTGTGAGAATCTTATCTCCAATTAACCACCAAAGAGCTAGAAATGGAGCTTGACTCAAGTGGTAGAGCACCAGCCTTCAGTAGAATACCTAAAGGACAGCAGCCAGGCCCTGAGTTCAAGCCCTAGAATCAGCACTCTCTCTCTCTCTCTCTCTCTCTCACACACACACACACACACACAATTAATTTTCAGAAGTATTTTTAAGTAGCACATGCTAGTTTCTTTGTCAACAGAAACTTGATAAATATTTTTGTTTTGCTTTTTTTGTGGTAATGTAGGTTGAACTCAAGGTGCATTACTTGCTAGGCAAACACTCTAGCACTTAAACCATGGCATGTTTTAAGGTAGCTTGTTTTTAAGGTAGGGTCTCATTCTAACTTTGACTAATTTGGCTTTGAAACACAATCTTCCCGTCGCTGCCATTTGAGTAACTGGGACCATGGGTATGGGTGACTACACCCAGCTTGGTTTGAGATAAAGTTTTACTACTTTTGACTAGGCTAGCCTTGAACTTCTGTTCTCTTGTTTCTAACTTTCAAGTAACCAGAATTGTGCCTTACCATGCCAGGCTAGACTTGAAAAATACTTTTTCTTGCCAGAAAATTGTTAGCAGATTTGCTTAGTGAAAAAAAAATCTGGACTATATGCATATCAAAAGTTGTATGATATCTGGGCAAGGTGGACCCCAGTAGCCCATTACTCTGAAGGCTGGGTCAAGTGGATTGCTAGAACCCATAAGTTCCAGGCTATCCTAGACAATTGGTAAGACCCTATCTCAGCTGGACACTGTGACTTACACCTGTAATCCTAGCTACTCAGGAGGGTTAGATCCTCAGATTTCAGTTTGAAGCCAGCACAGAGAAATTCAAGAGATTTTTTTTTTATCTCCAATTAACCAGCAAAATGCCAGAAGTGGAAATGTAACTCAAGTGGTAGAGGCCACAAGGTATACAAAGAAACATTGTAGTATGGCCTGTTCACAGGAAAAAAATAAGTAAACCAATAGAAACTGCCTCTGAAAAAGAGCTGATGACAGATCTATTAGATCACACTAAAACAACTTTCCTAAAATGCTCAAAAACTAAAGGAAGGCATAGAGAAAGCCAAGAAAATTATATGAACAAAATGGAAATATCAATAAAGAAGCCCCAAAACCTAAAAAGAAAGCAGAAAGGACATTCCTGAGCTGTAAAGTATAATAATTGAAAGAAAAAAATTTACAAGTGGAATCCAAAGGCAGATTTGATCGTGCAGAAGAGAAAATCTGAATTAGAGGTAGGATTCCGGAAATCATAAAGTCTGCAGCAAAGTAAACAGAGCCTAAGGGCTCCGTGGAGCATCATGTCTCAGAGCAAATGAGAAATAAAAGGACAGAGCGAGTATTTTAAAAAATAATGACCAAGAATTTTCCAAATTTAAGGAAAGACACAAGCTCAACAAAATAAAACAAAGCAAAAGATCATACTAAGGTGTGTTGTAATTTAAAAAAAAAAAAACCCACAACAGTGAATTTTGAAAACATTAAGAGAAAAGGGACTCATTATCTATGAGGTATCCTGAATAACATTCCTAGTATGTTTATCATTAGAAATTTGGTGTGCCAGAAGGGAAAGAGCTAATATTATCCAAAGTTCTCAGATATAAACTGTAACTTTCAACCATTGTATCTGCAAACCTGTTTTTCAGAGATGAGAGAGAAATCAAGTCATCTTATATAAATGAAATTGAAACAGCTCATTAATACTAGTTCTCCTTGCTTGGCATTCACAAGGAATTCATTAAGAAATGCAAAAGTACGTCCAGCAGATTGAAATGAAAGTCTAAACAATAACTCAAAACCATAGAAAGAAATAGAAATTATAGCAGGAATAGAAGTAACGGCGGTTATAGAAGTTAAGGTAACAATAATATATTACTCACTCTTTGCTTTCTAGGTGGTTTAAGACACTACAATAGCACATTTTAATTTATTTTTGCTTTGTTTTTCTCCAGAGCAGGGGATGGAACCCGTGTTAACACAGTACTCTACAACTGACTAACACGTTTAGTGGGATTATTTGTGTGTTTATATATGCATGCACTTTATGTGCTATATGACTACGTCTACGTGGGCTATGAAAATAGTCAACATGAAAGAGGTTTTAGTTAGGGGAGTTTCTAGCAAAGGTTTGAAATTGTCACTGAGGAAGAGTCGGGGGAGTGAGTAAGGCTGAGGAGTGAAGGGTTCCCAGGCCATCCTGGGCCACAATGAGGTCGAAGAACATGAATGGAGAGAGAATGGCAGTTGTCTCCTAAGCTGGGCCTATGTTTGTTCAGCTCCCCTCACTCACCTGGTACAGGACAGAACTGTGGGTCTCTGGGCTCTGCTTGAGTCTTAGAAAATGAGAAGGTCCTTCCCTTATTCTATTTCTATTTCTACTCACTTCTCTTTCTATTCGAAAGGAAGTTTCAATTTTATTTCTATTCATGCCACTGTACCAGATGTTGCTATGAGACCATATGGGCGAATGCTCTGGTTAAATATGGGTCTGTAAATAAATCCAATTTTGACTAAGCACGGGAAGGTTTCTGCAAAACAATGAAGCACCTGCAGTGCTCAGAGTAGCGTGAAAGAAGAGACAGCAGAACAGTTGCTTCCTTAGAGAAAAACCTGCCACTTATGCACAGCAACCTGGTGTGTTGCCAGATACTTGGGGGTCCTGAACTACTCCTTATCCTGAAGTAGCAGTGCATGTCACTTATTAAATACTGTGTAAGGATGGCTCTGGAAGGCTTGATCATCATGTTACCTGAGGACATTTGGGCTCAAAATGCGTTGCTCTGAAGAGCCCGGAACAGAAGCAACACAGGGGAATTGGATATAGGTCTGTTTGTCAACCAAACTTGAAGTCTCCAAAGTATAGTCTCTCTCTCTCTCTCTCTCCCTCCCTCCCTCCCTCCCTCTCTTCCTTCAAGGCTTAAACTTAGGACTTCATTACTTGATTTATTTGGTTGGTGTGCTACTACTTGAGCCACTTCTCTAGCTTGGCTTTTGCTAGTCTTTTTTCCTGGGCTAGCTTCAAACCTTGATCCTCCTGAATAGCTAGGATTAAAGGTGTGAGCCACTGGCACTTAATGCTCTCTCTCCTTTTCTTCCAAACCTTCATTCTCTTTCAGGCTGGGAGTTGAACCCAAGAATGCCAAAGAAGTGCTATACCACTGAGCTACAATGCCAGCACCCAAAGCTTTCTCCAAGTTTCAGTTTTCCTTCTCAAGATTCATACAGACAATTGTCTGGATAGATGCTAGCAAAGGCCAGGTGTAGTGGGATGGGTTTCCATCAATGACAGACCTGAAAACACCTAGAGTGAGTTGGCTGATTCTAATGGAATCCCTCAAATATAATATTTTAGCATCATGACTTTAGAACTGAAGTGTAATATAATGGATATTATGAATTCTAGAAGGACTTGGTTTTGACCAGTCATCACCTTCTGTCCCTGATATTTTCCCTAGTGAAAAAAGTGAATTGATATTGGACTCAGCTTGCCTTCTTATTTCAAAGCTCTAGGATGTAGGTGGCTTTTAGTGTGTCAGAGCTGTCCTCTGCCCTTTCCAGACCCAGAGGACATGTCCAGAGCAACTCTCTTCAGTTGGGCCCATGTGGTCCACCCATCTGGTATGTAGCCAGCCGCCCTAGATTCCATTCAGTCAAGCAAATCAGCCCCCACTAAATTCCTGCCCCACATGAGGAAGAGCAAGAGAATGTAATTTCCTCCCCTCTAGGACTTTAGTTAAGCCAGCAAAAACATAATGCAAAGCAGGCTACATTCCAACAATGTGGGGCAGGTACTCATGATCTTTAAGGCTGGGGGACAGGGAAGCAGCAGTTTTTGCTCTGAGTTCTTTCTCTGAGGATACTGCTAAATCCTAGAGGAGTATAATCAAAGCCTGTGGTTTTGAAACCAGCTCTGTGCTCCAGCTCTGTGATTCTGTGCTCCATTTCACCTTCACCACCACCCGTAAGCAGTGCTTACATTAGATGCTCATCCAGCTTTGAAATGTTTATATTTCAAGGTGATCTACTAAAATGTGTTATGTTCATATTCATGAGGATGTAGGTTTGTGATTTTTTTTTATTCTTGTAATGTCTTTATTTGCTATATTGTATTATGGGTGAGTTACTTCCTCTACTCTAATTCTCTCTCTCTTTGTTAACACTATCTTTTAGTAGTTGTACAGAGAGGTTTGTTCAAAATGTTGATTTATGAGTATAATACATCTCTATCAATGCC